TTTTAAACAGACGGGAGGTAAAATAGACCTATATATTTATAGCAGAAGGTCATTAAAAAGGCTAAAAACTAACTGCGGACAGCCGTGTTAAAACTTTTACAGCAGAAATAAAGATGTTTACACCCTGATGCACAAACTGTTTTGGTTTCTAGAGAGAAGTTCCAGCTTCACAACAACTTTTGCCAAGGAATAAAGAGGAAGTAAAAGAGAGGAATAGTAAGAAAATTGTCACTATATGCAGATGACAAAGTGTTATTTATTAGAAAAGAGGAAGATTGTTAATTGTTTATCTGAGACTGTAATATCAGGAGTCAGAGACAAATATAACTTGTATTAGGGCTTAAAGTTTGCATGATTAGGGGCGTGGCCTCTTTAACTGACTGGGTGGATGGTGACACAGATGGCTGGAGCTGCTAGCTGTCTGCTAGGCTCCACCTCAGCTAACTGGAGTCACTGAACTGGCCCTCTGGATCGTGTTTGTGCTGCTGGAGCCTCAAGGATCTCATAACTGGATTATAGATGGCAGACAGTTGGTGTCGTAAGCCACTACCTCTGTTTAAAGATTGTCGTTCACAGTGTACAAAGATGGCTTCTTTCACTCATCTTTCAAACCATCTGTCCTCTCTGTCCAAGATGTGAACATTGGCATCCTCGAAAGACTGACCTTTGTCCTTTAGATGCAGATGGACAGCCTTGTCTTGTCTCGTCGAGTTGGCTCTTCTATGTTGTGTCATGCATTTGTGAAGTGGCTGTTTGGTCTCTCCAATGTAGAGGTCTGGGCATTCCTCGCTACACTGTACAGCATGCTCTACGTTGCGAAGTTTGTGTTTAGGAGTTTTGTCTTTGGGATGAATCAGTTTTTGTCTGAGTGTGTAGCTGGGTCTGAAGTACACTGGGATGTGATGCAATGTTGTTGAGTTTGTCTTTCTGATCCTCCCTAGATGGTGTCTGATCTTCTTTTCTGTGCTTCTGGTGTCAGAAATAACTTCTGACACCAAAACACAAAACGTTAGCAGCTAAAATGCAAACGCCGAGGCTTCTAAATGTGGCGTAGTGTCACAGTGGCTTCGTGATCCACAGAGCAGGCGG